TAAAGAAAGTCTGTGTACACTGGAATCACAAATTTCCCCTGTGTCAGCCAACTGGATGGGGTGCTCGGCAGGCATCAGAAAAAGAAGGCAGAATGCTTGTCAAGCTTCCCTTGGTTCGTTTGGAAAACAAAGCACTACTGGCTGGGGACAAAAACACTGAGGTAGTGGAAGGGCGCCGTCCTGTGATGCTTATCTGTACTTCATGGACCATCAGATTAAGTGAGGATAACAAAGCTTTAGGACCGTTGCTAGGGCATCCCAGCAGGCAGGGGGTGCAACTTAAGAACACACAGTCTTGCCAAATACGATTTCATTGTCAAGATCCAGCCTCACTGCTATGCAAAAATGATTTTCCTCATCTTTCTTATTTGTGATTTGAAGGGTTGGGGCTTTGCTTTCTCTGCTAGATGCAAATCAGGAGACAAAATCTGGTGTTGTCCCCAGTTTCTGCCATCTGCTGACCAAGATAGCAGGCCGATGAAAGTCCACTAAGGGAAACACTGAGTTTTATCAAGTCTGTGGCACAGCAATGTCTTATGATGACATTTAAAGCAAGTCTTCATTTACTAGTTATTTCCATTTTTAAGTGAAGCAGAAGCAATATTCTATGCATACGTTATTAACTTTTTTTAAAAAAAGCAATATATTCACATTGTGCAAATGTCATAAATGGGTTTACAGGCAAAACTAAAACAAGCTAAAATACCTATATTCTTCAGTCCATGTTTCACCTTAATGGATGACTTTTTCTGAGTTTTGAATTCCCAGATACAATCAAAGTATTTTTATGCTCAGAAAGAGATGAAAGGATGTTATGCATTTTGCATGTATCTAGGGACTGGAGAAGGGAAGAAAAAAAGAGCTTCAGACTAGGGAAAGTGGCTTGTTCTGTGAAGCCTTGGATAACAGACACCTTAGACCAAAAATAATACTCGGAAACTGGGACTACTTGGTGCATTAAAAATACTTTTACCTTTCGTATTTCTGAGAGCTTCATTTGTTAAAGAAGCAGCAACACTATCTATAGGAAAGATATCTTCAGAAATACTTTTTTAACAACTGTTAAAAATTCAGAAGAACTTGAAGGAAAAGATCGCTTGTGTCAGAGTGTAACATGAGGGTACTTGTGATTTCAGGGATCCCTTGGTTTTATTCTTGTGTCTGGTTTCATAAGACAGAGTGGCTCTGTTCCTACTTACATGGAATCAAATTTAGTCAAGCTCAAAATTCTGTCTCTTAGAATCTCACCCTGAACTTCTCAGAAAACCCCAAGGTCACGTTGACAAACCGAATGTGCAGCAGGATTAAATAAGTGTGGAACTGGCAGAGCTAGACCTTTTCTTTTTTTATTGTGTCATCGACACTGCTAATCTCCCAATGATTATTTCTGCAATATAAACTAGCCTGGATTATGAAAACTAATTCCCTACCTGACCTACTCATAAACAGTTTGGTAAGAGCTAATTTTAGGTTGTTTTGAGCTTCCTCATTTTGCCACCAGAGACATTTTAAGTTTATAAGAGTCTTCCATGCCTCCTAAGACCCTCATCTAGGCAGGCATCTTGCACAGCACAAAGTACCAAGTGGAGCAGGTTTACATCAGATAGAAAAGTGATGGTGGGGGTGTCGGTTACGTTCTCTGTTTTAGCTGGGAGGCAAGAAGGGGAGCATTATGAAAAATTGATGATCTGATATTTAGTAGAAGAAGGCCAAGAACCACCACCCACTACAACAATAAATAGGATGAGCACACACACAGATATACACTGCTCTGTCAACCCTGGTATGTAACATGCTGTAATTTCACTGGGAGTTCATCAGCTGCTGCTAGCCCTGACATTTCATAGTGGAGTCTTCCTGGGCGCCCAGTGATACCACGGGACATTTGTTCTGGCCATACGACTCCTCATTTATGGAATTCTTTCTACTTCCTAATACAGATCACATTCTATTTCACTTGCCTCTCACAATAATTCACCGAGATACATATAATGGGAATTACTACCTATATTTTATAAATTAGTAAAAAGCAGCACAGAGTATAATCACACATCCCTAGGTGGTCCCAAGTCAAAACTGAGACCATGGATTTTTCTCCCTACTAGACTTTGAGTTTACATTTACATACGCACACATACAAATACTTAAAAACAAATTTCTAAAGAAAAACTCATGAAGATTACAATGATGCTTTCAGTACCATCTCTCTTTGAGGTGAGCTAAGATATACAGGCACTATTGAGGTTAATAAGCCAGAAAAAGTAATTTTAAAAAGAAAGAATGGTAGCTTTTTTAGACAGGAGAAAATATTTCACAGTAACCAATACACACTATAGAAATTGAGCTTGCTGGGAAGAAGACAGACTTAGAACAAGAGTGCTTTAATTGCAAAATTCCTCAGCACATTTAAAATATAGTGATTTATGAAAATCTGATTCATACACAACTTTACAGGAATACATCTGTTATAGAAATCCATGCTGGCTCACCTGTAATTTACTCTAGAGGAAATGACTGAGTGATAATAATAATAACATGCTCACATCGTTCTTCATTATAGATCTTAAAGTGCTTCCCCCTAATTTATTGCATTTGTCTTTGGTGACCTTTTAAAGGCAGGCAGAGAGTGTATTATCCTTTCTTTACAGATGAGAAATTGGGAGGTTAAGTGACTCGCCCAAGGTCAGACAGACAAGCATTCATTCACTGCTCTGAGTGATATAGTTTTAACGGGGGTAGTCAAGGAAGTAAGGTTCTTCCTATTTTTTTTATCCAGCTGTGAAAGCTATTAAAACAGAGGTGGATGATCTCACAAACACAAAACTAACTGAAAGAAGCCAGACACAAATGTGTACATGCTGTATGATTCAATTAATACAAAATTCAAATGCAGGCAAAACTAATCCATGGTGACAGAAGTAAGGATGGGAGTTCCCTGTGGGATGAGGACTGGAGGGGGGCGTGGGAGCTTAGGGTAATAGTCTACTTATTGATCTGGTCTGTACCTTGTTAGGTTTGCTTTTTAGCTGCATTTTAAAAATATGCATTAAATGTGGAGTTTAAAGACAGAAGAAAAGGTCTATAGCAAATATAACCAGTATTAATTATGTGCATTGAAAAAGGATTTTTGTTTTGTTTTGTTTTGTTTTGTTTTGAGACAGGCTTTTGTGTGTAGTTCAGGCTAGCCTTGAACACATTATACAGTCCAAGCTGGCCTCGAACTCACAGTGATTCTCCTGCCTCAGTCTGCCGAGTGCTGAGTTTATAGGCATGCGTCACCATGCTCAGCTATGAAAGTTTCTTTAAGAGGCCAAGTGCAGTGGCACACACCTCTAATTCTGCTACTCAGGAGGCTGGAGCAGGAGGATTCTCAAATACAAGGGTAATGTGGGCAACACCATGAGACTCTGTCTGAAAACTTTAAAAAGGGCAGTAGTTAAGTAGCACAGGGCTTTCCTAGCATACACAAGGCCCTGGGTTCAATTCCTAGATATAAAAAACAAAACAAAACAAAGAAAGTTTCTTCCCATATATAGGAAGTGGGAAATCGAAGCACATTAGGATAATAACACAATTTATTTAGGACTATGTCAACATTTGTATTCATTGATCTCAAACTAGGAATCAGGGGTAACTCAGGGGTGGAGGATGTCCTTAGCATGTGCAAGGCCCTGGGCTCAATTTTCAGCATAAAAATATAGCAAAAACCCAAAACAACAACAACCCAATATATCCTCAAAAAAACTAGGAATCATAGGAAATGGGATTATGTTGCTATTCATGTAGTGCATCCACAAGAGTATATATAAATTCAAGGGTGATAAGAATATGACTTGCAAAACAATACCCATTTTATTTCAGCACATCATATACGAGCAGTGCGTTGAGTGTCAGGGTAGGATGCCAAAGCCAGCAGTAAAAACCTGAGTTGGTGGGAGATGAGCAAACTTCTGGAGACTCCTAAGCAGGTGTGCATGCAAGAGTGAATGGGAGGACGCATCGGACAGTTCTCCAGGAAGGATATGATAGGCACTGGCAATTACGTAAAGCAACTTGTACTGTAGTTTCCAAGAACCCTTTGTACTTATGTGGCTTGTAGTAGGAGAAATCAAGGCTGCACTTCTGTTGCAGTTATTGTGAGTCCAATATCCATCTTAGTCTCAGTGGACAGGAACAGAGAGACTCAGGGTGGTGGGTGAGATGTGGGCCCCACCTCTGCCCTTCCATTAGGGACTTAGCTGGCTGGGTGGGCCCCTGGTGTGCTTTTGTGTGTTTGTTTTCACAATAAACTAGCTAGGTAGTTTTCAAATCAGTTTTATCTCCTGGCCCCCTGCAGGATGTGAGGCACATTTCATGGAGCAAACTCGTGACCTGTGGCCTGGCCAGGTGTGAGTGTCGTCTGGCATTTGGGTAGAGATTTCCCATGTGGTTCCCAGTGGTGCTCCCAGTGTGGAGTGGGTTCAGAAGGCAGCTTGGAAACAGATGAAGAGGCAGGAGGGGAGGCTGGGACAGTCCCCTCCTCCCTCTGATTGGCGGAGGGTAAAGATACCCTGAGGCTGGGGACCGGGGTGTCTCCCCAGTCCACATGAAGCCCTTTCATGGCTTTTGAACAGAGATCCAAAAGACACAACTGCTGTCCCTGGGCAAAGCCCTTCTGCAGGAGAAAAAGACCTTGAATCCCCAAGCAAGCTTTACTGTGCTAATTCACAGGGACAGCTGGACAAGGCCCCCTCATGGCGGAGCTGCGAGGGTCCATGCCCCCGCCCTGCCTCCATCCCGGATTTTCTTTCCCCCACACAGATCCTGATGTGTATGCGTGTGTACGCATGTGTATGCATGTAGGCCTGTGGCCCTCAGCATGTAGCAGACAGGCCACAGCACTCTTTCACTTCTATGAATTTTCACTTTTTTGTTACGGCTCATATGACAGACATAATTGTTTTCAATATCCTGGGCTTCCATCATTTTTAGTATTGGAAAACATAAATAAAGATACTTGCCATTAAGCCTTGTTCTCCGGGTTTCCCTGGTTCACCCTTAAAAAAGAATAGGGAGAATGTGAGCAATTTTTATCTTTTCGCTAATACTCCCCACAACCCATAAATAAGCGCTTCTTTTAGGTTAAATAAAAGAACAGAAATGCTACAGAATTTAAAGAGATCTGCTATCCTTTCTTGAAATAAATTTTATAAATATCTTAGGCTTTAATAAAGTTAGTCTACTTATATATTTCTATGGGTATCTTTTGCAAATGTGACAGTGACAGTCATCAGGGAACGGCCCATAGACACCTCGCCTCTTCCTCACTGTCCTGTCCCTTTTGCACCATGACCTCCTCTCCCTCCACCCCAGGTCTCCTCACAGGTGCCCTCCCATCTCTACCAAGTCTACTTCCCTGCTTGCTGTCATTGAGGACATGATTTCATCCTCTGTATAGTGATGTAAAATGGCGGATGTGTCTCCTCTATAGGAACTCAAGAGTGTCCTATGTAGGACACAGACAACTGCTCTCAGGGTAGGAATTAAATAGTAAAATGTGCAGGAATTGATTTCAAACTTTGGTCCTTATGAACTGATAATGGACAGAGTACCTTGTTTAATTAAAATCCATACAGAAAAATCTCTTATACCACTATCATTTTCTAACACTCAGGTTAAAATGGGATTATCGTGTTTTATTGTCACATTATGACAGTCCTGGGCCGCAGTTATTTTACTGGAAACTTATGCTTGCTGTGCTGCTATATGCAGCTATTGCTGACCTTCTCCATGAATTTTTATAAAATATCTTCTAGTGGTTATGCCAGCATGTACAAATTAACTCAAAGACCATAAATCAAGCTCAAATTATATTTATAGAACCTCTTTTTAAAAAGTTAAGTTGTTCTTTTCATAAAAATCTCTACTTCTTAAATGAATAAACTATATTCATGTGAAGGATAGCATAAGTTTTGATTGTTTAGCTTGTCACACTCCCTTTCTCTTTGTTTCCTAAAAGTAATTTCTACTTTAAATTAGATTTCAGTTATCGTATATAATACTCAATGATCTGAATAATTTTGTAGCATCAGAATATTTTTAACTAGCTTATTTAAAGAGAGGCTTGCCGCTAACAAGTAGCAATTAATGGACATGCTTGAAATATCCCCAAAGCTGTGAGGCCCTCTATCCTTGGGGGTATCACCCTGGGAAATGCTGAGACACAAGCAGTTTTAGGATTAAACCACTACCTCAGCGGTTCAGAGAAAGCGTTCCCAACTACAGCTAGTCATGCAAGAAGAGCTGGTTCTTCCTCTCTTAGGAGTCAATTCCTAGTAGATCCCAGTGAGGGAAAGGGGCTTTTAAGAAGGTTATCTCAGAAAAATTGCTGGGTTGCCTCTACTGAACCATTTACCCACTGTCCTGTATATTGACACTAGATTTATCTCAGTAGCTCAGAATTGAGAGCACTTTCATTGTCGTCTATTAATAAGGATTATATACTAAGGACAAGTGCTATTAAAATCAGACCCACTGATGTTTTAACCACTAATTTTACTGTTTTTATTAGCTACTTCTTGGTCAAATTATGCACAAGGAATTAAATATTAGGAAGCTTTATTGCCTTTATAAATAGTATGAAACTTCCCTGTGTTTGCTGTGGACGCTTTGCAATTTGTTATCAGTCTCCTACTTCCTTTTCCAAAGGTATATTCCCCTAAACCTGAGGCAAGAGGCTACCCAGAGGCAGAAGTGGGAAGGGTCCCCAGACCAGAAGTCGGGCTCACCTGTCCAGGTCCCTGGGGTTTGCATGGGCTTCCAGGGGTGGAGGGAAAGTGGCACCCTGCTGGCAGTGCCCTGCAATGCTTGGAGACTCTCCTGCTGCCCCACTGCTCTCCACACCCCCTGCTCACATGATCCCTTGGTTCCACAGCCCCTTGCCACCCTGCCCCATCCTGATTCTCAAGCCCACAACAATGGGATCCCAAAGCAACTCACAGGCACTCCTGGCATCCCGCGGGGGCCGTCCTTCCCGGTGTCCCCAGGTGGCCCTCTGGGACCTGGAGGGCCTGGGGGTCCGGGAGGCCCTGCTTGCCCTTGGTCACCCTGCAGTGGAGAAGGGGACAGACCAACAATAACCAGGAAAGGTTAATACCCAGGTCTTCTTTTCAACACTTTGAATTCCCATTATCTAATCCACGTTACCACTCTGAGGAACCAGAGCAACCAGAAATGGAAGCCTGTAGGCAATTTACCTGCCAGCAGGGAGCAAATAAATATTCATGCTTGGAAGCGCTGAGATGCCATTAAAGCCAAAGCAGCCCAAGCCAGCCCGCCACTGTGTTAGCGCTAGCTGCAAACCCGGTAGGAAACTGTGTATAACTTTATCTGCCCCCATACGGCACGAGTTCTATTCACTGCTTAACAAATGGCTGCATCTGTAGCTCAACAAATATATTTACCTTTCATAGCCAACAAAATTAAGTAAAAGAAGCTCCTGGCAGATTTCATAATAATTTATGAGTAACTAAAGCTAGAGAGATTTGAAATTAGAACTGTTAGTGCTTCAAATTTAAGATTTTTAAAATTTAAAATTTTGATGTCTTTTTATTTTAGTACTTTCACATACATTTCAAATGCAGCTCATCAAATAAAAATTTGTTCTAAGATATTTACATATAAAGACCCCACCCCACCCCCATGCCCACACACCACCCCAACCCACCCACAAGAAACAAACAGTAAAGCAACAGTACCCAGAGCAATAATGAACGTAAAGCAGAAATTAGATTCCAGCAAGAGGAAGCACTACCTTAATCAGGCGGCGTTTAATGAGCTGCTGATCAGCAGAGAGAAAGCCATGATTGATTTTAGGAAACACCATCTGATCAGTCAGGTGAGGTCAAAGGTTGAAGTTCAGAGGTGAGAGAGTTGAAGAATAGGCATCAGAAGGCCCCAAGAAAGAAATAAAGACATACACATTAGATTATAGCAACCATTGAACAGAACAGAACTGGCACTGTGTCTGAATCAGATCTGCTGGTTTTTCCTGAAGGAACTAGGAACCTCAAATTCGAGAATGAGACCAGTTTTCATTAGAAACGAATCCTTTTGGTACCCCATCATCTTGCCATGGGTGTTGGTCCCATTCCCAGAAGCAGTTGAGCTGGGATGACCCTATGTGTCCCGCCGAGCAGACAGTTGGCAGATGCAGTGCCAGTTCTGTTTCTGTCAGACTCGCCAACCAGCATAAAGTGGCATGAACCCGACTGCCGTGCCACGGATGCCCACAGTCCAGAGCCCTCCAAGTTACTTAAAGGGCTGGCAAATATCACAGAGCATTAGAGTGCATGGAAACTAAAGCCGGAGGTGTGGCACGGTGCCAGTGGGGTCTTGGCAGCCGGAGGCCAGCATCCTCCCTGGGGCCTCGCTGAGGCAGGTGAGGTCCCCGCAGCCCTAGACAGTGGTCTGATGTCATGATTGGAGGAGGCAACTGAGCTGGGCATGGCAGTTGAATGGTTCTTGCTCCCTCTTATGCTGACCGGGGCTCTGACTGCACAGGCATGAGACCAACCACAAACCTTGACGGTGAGGATCTGATTACTGTGCAGGGCAGCGACCGTGGGGAAGCCTGGCAGGCCCTATGAACACAGCACAGCACCAAAACAACACGACACAGAACGTCACACAGACAGTCTGCTGGTGGACAAACAAAACAAGCACACAACTAACACCTGCCTCTCCTGGCCTGAGACTTGGGCACACTGTAAACTAGCTGAGCAATCCTACCACTGCTTAAAGCACGGGGTGGAGAGACAGAACTCGCTGCCACTGTCCCCCTGTGGCAGGCACGGTGGGGGCTGTGCCCACACTGGTGGGCAGAATTTGCTGCTCTGAACACGTGACTTTCTTCAAGAAATGTTAGTACAAAATGGAGATCACCGCAGACACTGTGGATATTCTGTTTACAACTCACAACATAAAACACACGTGTTAATTATCTTGTGGACACCGACAGTGGGCCTGTTTCTACTGTTAGATCAGAATAAACAAAATTCTTCCCAAAATATGGCCTTTCCACACACATCACCCAGATTCTCCTTCTAATCTTCCAATGACTCTCAAGGCCCCTTGCTTCGGGAATTCCCACAAAGTGCCGGGGAGAAGCTGGTTTCTTCTAACAGGCTCATTTCACCTGACGGGGATTTATGGTCACACTCTGCAGTAATCACTTCTGTCACTTAACTTTCCAAAAGAACTTGACAGTTCACATGACCCCTTAAGGCAGAAAAGTGGTTTGGAACTTCTCAACCAGGAACAAGAGAGGAGGGAGATTTTGAGACTTGTATTTCAATAACTGGTACTAATTTATCCTACAGGTGTTATCAGTTGGGTAGGAGTGAAAGTCTGCCTTGATTCTGCATTTCTCTTCTAGCAGCATGTGAAATCGGAGCCTTTCATTCCAATGTTTTTCTAAACACAGAACATGTTTATCATACAAATCAACAACAAGCACAGACATTAACGGCCTCCAGTGTCTGTGGCTCCCTCCCTGGATGTCCCCTCTTCTCACCCAGTTCTATTTTGAGGACAGTTTTAGGAAAACCCAGGTTTCCAGGTTTTTAATTTTATTCATTCTGTGGGTATTTTTCCTCTTACTTTTCCCCATGTTAGGGACATGCTTTTCTTTTTAAGAGAGCCAATAAAGTTAGGTTTGTCGTATGAAGACATTTTTAGCCCTAATGCCTTTCATTCTTGTTCTTTAGCATTGCAATTTTTCAGGAAGCAATGCAGAGGAAACCATCTCCCTTTTGCCAAATCTGTACTGATAAGGCTATTAAGTGGCTGTGTAGTTTTGAAGTGACCTATGCCCTCTTTCTCTTCTCTCTAAGTAAAAGTCTTCTAAACACAGACTCTGGACAAACTCAGAAATACTACAAGTTGGAAAACAGATGTGTACAATTTGCTTTTGTTTTACTATGGAATATGAGTTTAAAATGTTATTAGATGGTAAAGTGCCAGCATCTTTCCATCTGTGACTCATTAGCCCTATATTACACAGTCCGAATTTTATATATAAACCTCGTATTTATGTAACAAAGAACAAAAACAGATACAAACAAGATGTCTACGGAGGATCACAATCTTGATTAGTGGTGATAAATCATAATGTCACTTGAGACATGATTATCTAACAAAATAATTTTAAATTAAAAACCTTTTAACACAGCAACATGGTAGGCATTACAAATGTTTTGAAATTTAAATGTATAAATAAGTCATTTCTTGCACTTATATTTGAGCATGACCAGCTTGCTGTGTCAACATATTTTCCGAATGTGCACCCAAATAAAAACATTAACTTTTATTATAACTTTTTTGGGTTTTGTATTAATGGGTTCCATTTTGACAGATTCTTATATACACATATTTTGTTCATTTTCATCCCACTTGGTTGGGCTCTGATGTGGATGAGATCTAAAAAGGGAGGTGGATTTGTAATTCTCAGTTCAGACAGTTCTTCCCTGAATAGGAACTCTACCTGACCAGCTCTACCCATGCTGGTCTTTATTTCCCAGTCAGTTGCCCTGTGAAAATGCTACCAACTAGCTGCTTACAGAGACACCTGAAAGATTTCACAAAGGACTTTGTAGGTTTCATGCAGCAAAGAAAAAAGAAAACAGGCAAAAGGATTCATTTCAGTTTCAACAAAAGTCTAGGCTGTAACACCCTAATACCCTGAGCTGTTCAGAGTGGGAAAAAGTATCCCTAAGGGTAAAACCAGTGTCCCAGGGCATGGCTAAAGGCAATAATCAACATGGTACATTTTCCTGAAAAGTCAATTTTTATGGTAAATACTTTAAAACATTTTAATCTAAAGCAATATATTCTGGGGTAGAATACAAATTTGCACACTTTTTAAAGTAGTATCATTTGATGGGGACCACCTCCAGCTCACAGGTAGACTCTGTACACTGCTTGCAGGAGTTAGTTTGAAAAGCCTAGTGCTGAATATGTATCTTTAGTACACAGCTTCCTGGCTATAACTGCTAGGCTTTCCAGGGTATTCATATAGAGAACTCACTTTTCCATTAATTATTCAACCCCTTCCTCAGTATCATTAGTCATAGTCCTTTCTAAATAAATACAATGAACATATTTCACGTGGTTTTACATCTCAGAAAACTTGTCTGGTACACAGATGGTTGGAATGGGTGTGGGAAAAAAAGTGTCTCTTGAAAAACATGGAGAAATGATCCAGAAGAAGCTGAAATACTGAAATAATTTGCATATAATTTTACCCCAAAATATTTTGAATTCTAAAGGAACTAGACGTACAAATATGTAATATGTACTAACTTATACATCTCACGTTCTTGCCCAAGAGCTTAGAGGCTGAAAAGAACTTCATAAAACCTCCAGAGATACGGTGTCATAGGTAACCATTTCAAAGTTAGGATTTTTCATTATTCAAAGGGAGCTATATCCTGCTTCATTACCTTTTGGAAAGAAAGGTGACATATACCCCAAAGGGATGTTGAGCAAATAAATAATTCATAAGAACCGCTTCTATTTAGGGGCCATAAATCCAAGGTGTTATTGTCATTTCTACTGTATGCTCAGTAATGATGAGTGTTATACAGTTATATTATAGTGAGAAAACAGTATTCAATAAGGCAATAACACAGCCAGAAATGTAATTCTCAACTTCTAATTCCAGACTTTGCCTTTATGCAATTTATGAATTTACAGTTTTCTTTTACTTGTTTCAGAGTTTAAAATATGAGCAAGCTTAAAAATTGACTAACACTCAACAATGTGTAAGAAGCATTTGTTAGAGCCTTCTGTGAGGCATTTGCTGTGTTAGCCCCAGGGGGACTGAATGGCGAGCAGGATCCCAAGTTCATAATGTTTAACATCCAGTGGTGAGATAGGGGAAAATAAACAGGCAGTAACAATACCAAGCGATAAGTATTATGATGGCAAAATTGGCTACAAAGAAAATTAAATGTGCACCCAATACTGGGAAGACTTCCTGAGCCAGGTGAGAGAAGTGTTGAAGGTTGGTCCAGCAAGACTCAAACTTGCAGAGATGCAAGGATATTGCTTCAACAGTCTTTGTGTAGAACTGTAGTCCAGAACTAGCAGAGGGACCAACTGGGCTTCCAGCATTATTAGAGCAGAGTTATCAGAACTCGTAATTTTGCTAAGAACACTGGGAAGATGAGGGGCAGAGGCTGGTCCTCAGTCACCAGTGTAAAACACAGAAGGGCACTAGTGGGACACTAGAGGAAGGTGATACTACCAACGATGAATTCAGTGAGGGATTTGCTCCGATTGAGCTGTCCAAGGATGGTGAAGAGGCAGCAGTTGGATAAGCACATGAAAGAGGAGAGGTGAAATCAGGAGTCAAATGGCTGCATGAAGCTACCCAGAGAAAAGGTGTAGGATAGGCTCCTGGGGAAGACTTACAGTGGGGGGATGGGCAGAGGAAGAGGCAACTGCCAAGAGGATTCTAAGGAGCTGCTGTAGAAACAGGAGGAATGTTAACTTTTTTCATAAATATATGTAGGTAAATGACTCAAGATGACAGACACAGACCTCTTTATTGCTTCATTAATTATGCTGCATGAAGGTATAAACATGACCAACAGTGAAGAGGCCAACAATGGCCAGGGTCACTGGAAATGGATGCTCATTAATAAGCACAAGGGAGTATAACTCAGGTTGTCCAGGTATGGAGAAAAGGCAAACATATATTTTAACTACAAAGGGCCAAGGTACCTCAGCAGCAAATCATGTTAGAAGAAAACAATGCATTGTGCTAAGAAATGAAAATCTTCATATTTTTCCATAATGCACATGATCATGATTCTGTTTGCT